AACGTGATACTGCCCATTGTTCAACTGCTTTGGCTGGCTCTGATAACCCGACCGCTGCTGCTGTTGCTGTTGGTTGTAACCCCCTTGACCGTTCTGATTATCCTGGTCATTATTACCGCCCTGATTGAAACCTGAACCGGAAGCTCCATCGTGACTCGGCCCATGGAAACCGGATCCTGAGCCACCACCTGATCCACGGTCATACCGGAAGGCATTAGAGTTTTTAAATTCCTGCATAATGAAACAATTCTTCCAAAGGTGGTTAGCCGGCGCCTCCTTCGTCCCGTGTTTTGGGCAAGGCTGATTCAGCAAATAGTTTAAACGATCCGGGTTAGGATTTGGAGCCCCATTACGATTCGCCGCTTTACCTCTGCGCCGCTGACCCTTGTCCTGCGCATTAGTGTTAGCCACAAAGTCCAGGCTGCCATCCGCCTTACGTTTGCCTCCGTTTACATGGCCCGCCGGTTTGTATTGATGCCCCTTAGAGCTGTTATTCTTCTTTCCCTTCCCTGCTTCGTCATCGTCGGTATCAGGATCCTTGGTACTATCAGAATTAGCATACTTCACTAAAGCGGCCATGAGAGTTCCCATGTCATTACAGAACCGCTTCATACGCCCTAGCTTTTGCTTTAGAGGCTTAAACCGGCAATTGCCCTCCAGGGTTAAGATCGCAGAGTCATCATTGATCCTGTCAGACGAGTGTAAGACTTCAGAAACGCGGCGTACCCAATGGGTTGTTGACTCTCCATCCTCCTGAACACAAGCCGCCAAGTCTACTATGGATTTGGGCTGCTTACACGTATCTTTGAAATTCTGGATAAACCGGGTCCGCAGCTGGGCCCATGAACTGATAGAATTAGGCGGCAGGCCCTTCAACCAAGTACGGGTTATGCCTTCAAGCATCATGGTGAAGTACTTTGCACATGCAGTCTCATCCACATCCAGCATCTCCATTGCCATCTCATAACTCTCTATCCATGCTTCTGGAGATAAATCAGCGGTGTAATTCGGCACCTTGCGCGGGCCCTTGAAGTCCTTGGGCAGGCGTACATTGCGTAAAGTGGGGACTAAACAGGGTACTCCCAAGCTAGATGCAACCCCTGGCCCAATAGAGGTGGTTGGACGAACCGGTGTATGCTGATCCACCTTGTTTTGTGCTGCTAACTCGGCCTCCCTTCGTGCCCGGGCCCGGTCTACTACATCCTAAGCATCGTGAACACCACCAGCCGGGTTATTGCCACGGGCCGCTTCACGGCCCCGCGCATTGCTTGATATGGCCGGTTCATCCAGGCACCTACTATAGCTCCGGCTTGGACGGGGTGTTGAATGAATTCGATCGCGGCTGTATGAATATGCCTCCTATTGAATCAAAGCGGTCCGGAGAAGCTCCTTAACCCGACGCGTCTCTATTGCTTGCGGAGAGTCTCCTTCGACCGGGATAGCTTCTAATCACGCAGCAGCTGCGACAAGATTGTCCATAGGATTAGAATAATGACCCGGAGGTGTCTGGACCGGCGGAGGAATCACAATGTTCTACCGAGGAGGTTCCATTAGGTGGGGTTGGACCGTCGCTCCTGGCCCTGGTGCCTCGACCCGGTTTACCTCCAGGTGCCCCGGCGGATTACTGGTTCCCGCTCCCGGAGTGTGAAAGAGGTTTCGAGGGTCGAACCCTAACGGTACGCGTGATCTGTGCTTCCGCCTCAAGACTTCCTGTGATGCGTTCTGGTCGAGCATAAGTTTATAGGCCTGGGCATCCAAAGCGGCCCGCTCTGTGGCCATCCTGTCCTTTTCTTCTGCCAAGTCGGCTTTGACTTGTGTGATCTGCTCTCTCACTTTTGCAATTTCTGCATCATGGGCCTCCTGATCCGCTGGATTGGCCTCTGCCATGAGTACGGCTAGTGCATCAAACAGGTCAGACAGAACTTGAACCGGTGGGCGCACAAGGCCTCCTGCCCCTGCTGCCGCTGCCGCTGCTGATCCGGAGAGCATTGCTGCTGCGGTCGAAGAGTGATTCGCCGCTTGTGTACCGGCCATGAATATTCCAACCCGATTGATCTGCTCAGGGGATCCGGAATGCTGTCGCCATCGGAACAGCTCCTAATCTGGTCGTCTTGCAACTGGTACAATGATTCGGTCTCTCCGGTTGAGGATTCGTCGCCGGAATAGACGACGGTCTCGCTACCGTATTCTGATTCGTTCCCATGCTCTCCTCCGTGGATGACTCCCACAAAGGCACGCCTCACGGCCGGTTTAACCTGGGTAGATCTCGCACGCTGAGCCGTCTCGACGAGGTCGGTGCGGATGTCCGGCTCAGGCCCAGGCTCACCGATCTTGCCGATAAAAACGTATATGCCACCAAAGGGGACCCGGTACCCGTACTCGATCGAGCCGGCTTCGGGACCCCATCCTGCATCATCGATGTAGAGCTTGCCGCAACGACTCTTGGTCATCCGGCCCACAGCATAGCCTTCGAGTCCTTTGAGCTTGCCCTCCAAGATCATCAAACCGTCGTGCGATAGCCCCACGGTGGGCGCCAACTGTCGTGAATTTGTCACAACAGATGTCCTTGTGAAAGGACTTAGTCGTGGAGCCATCGCTACGGGTTAACTTGAAGGGGTTAAAGCGGACACAAAGACACGAGGGTTTATACTAGTTCAGCCCCTTCGATGAAGGTAATAGCCTACGTCTAGTTGTGATGGAATTAATGTGGCTTCGATGGCTAGGGAGCAAACAAGCTTCGCCTAGGCTCGAGTTGTTGTTGTCCCTCCTTGAACCGCCGCCGGGTCGTCCCCTTATATACACGGGTGACGCCCGTCGGTCCACAGAGTCCCACACCGGTTCATACTCGTATCCCGGTTGGTCTCTCTCTATTCCTAACTTACAATACAAGTTTACATACCAAGCCGGTTTACGGCAACAGGTTCTAAACCGACTACAGGCCTTGGGCCTTCATCTGCTTAATCACCTTTACACTACTAATGAAGTTAATCCGGCCCGGGTAGGCCGGTTCACGCCCAGTGGTAATATCCCCAACAATGCTGGAGTGTGCCTTCTTCTGGTCGGGGTCTAGCAAAACGACCGGGGCCAAATGTAAAGTCAACTGGGAAAGCGTTTGTAGGCCTAAGGAGTGTGGTGGCCTTGGTGTGCTCAATCTTGTGAATTTTTGCCAAGCGCTCAGACTACGCTGGTTATGGCTCGAGTGGACGGACCCTTCTCGCTTGTGGGTTGGGCTTGGAAATCCATGCGACAAGGACGACAAAGCTTTCTTCTACGCCTCCACTACTATCACAATTGGTGATGGGGCGCACGCCCCTTTTTGGGAGTCCCCATGTCTCAGTAGGAGGAAACCAAAAGATATTGCCCCGCTCATTTTTGACGCCTCCAAAAGGAAAACCTGGAAGGTCGGGGAGGCATTATCACATAATGCCTGGATCACCAAGATCAATATGACGACAATATTCACACTCGAGCATATTCGGCAATTCTTGGATCTTTGGGTCCTCCTTCGCGGAGTGCAGCTACAAGTGGGCGTGGAGGATACCATATTGTGGAAACACACGGCCCGTGGGAGCTACTCGGCGTCTTCGG